TACCTCTCTCGCGGCCTTCGGGTTCTCCTCCTTCTTCGCGGTTTTTTTCACTGAACAAAACTGTCCTCACCAAGATCCGAACGCACAACCTCACCCAATTCATCCACTATCCGCATCTGTTCGCGTAGATCTCTCTTAGGTTCAGAAACCGTTCTCAAACGCCTACCAGTGAGCAGATCCACCGAATACGAGCGGAGGAAGCCCTCAGTGTCTCGATCCATCCCCAATGATACACTACTAAAACTCTCCGTTTCTGACAGACATGATGGGAAAGCAGTTGAAGCTGTGGGGTTAACTTGGAGGTTTCCTTCTTCGTTTCACAACTCCCTTCATCATCATACCATCACCTTTCATCATCACCACCATCGGTGCGCTCTTAGGTTTCAAATATCTGCGACCATCTTTTCCCCAACTGGCCCAACTTCACTTGAACCTTGGCTCGACGTGTGCATATCTTTGATTCCTCTCGAGCAGCGGTGAATAGGTAAAAGTATCATCCTCTTGTAAGATTTCTCTCGGTCGTGCGAGCCGCTCGCAGCTTTCTATCTGTTCCTTTCGGTTGAATAATGGCCTCCTCGGAATCGGCTCAGACGGGGATTCTTCAATAAGACCTTATCGTGATTTCATGGCGCAGCGGGAAGTTTATGCTACCAGCACAGCGGCAATAATAGAGCCTTCGAATAACCTCTGCTGTCTCGTCTTTTGTCTGTGGCTGCGCCCACTGGTTGATATCTTTAGTCTCGCTCGCCGATACTGCATGTAACCGTCGGCAGCATGCTGAAGGCTGAAGGTGTAAGAATTAGAATACTTTTGCGACTATGGCTACTCCTACTTGCGTTCACTCAACTCCTGGGAGGAAACCCGGCACGGTAGAGACAAATGGCACCCACCGTGGGGCAAGTCATCACTATGATGGTGGTCTATTCGACAACAAGGTCATGCCTTATCGTGGTCTGCTCTCTGATGTTGGTCTACTCCCAATGATGACTGTGGAGCCGCGCACTTGCGCTATGGTGCAAACGAGAAGAGGGGCAACCGAACGCATCGACGCGCCTGGAGGAGAGGACGGAAGTCCGATATCTCCAAGTCAGGTGTCGGGTAACACTTCGCGGCACGACATGTCCCCTCGTGGCAGCGGACAGTCGCGTACCGGAGTGGTGGCCGTCGTTGCTGAAGAAGCTCAATCCGAGAGGATCGGCCAGAAGGCCATCGACGACTTCTTGTCCGGATTGGACGGAGAAGTGCGAGCTCAGATCTATGGTTCGTTAGAGGAACCGAGATACTTACCAAAGCCCGAACAAGCGGTCTCTATGGGTACTCTGTCTTTACTCGAGAAGACTATGGGCCAGTCATACAACTGTTGGCTTACCCTGGCGAACGGCCTGAAAGGGCATGCTGGGGAACGCTATGGTCTAGACCCCCGCGGATTTGTGAAAAGCTGGGGTTTGTTCGCCTGGGCTCATTCCCCAGCGTCCAAGTGGACTGGTGTCGTGACGAAGGAAGAGCCGGCTGAGCACGGGGAAGCACAGCGCATGGGATGCGCATGGTTCGACGAAGTTCAACGTTGCTTAACTCTATGCCGAGCATCCCTCGGTGCCCAGCTGATCGTCTGGGTTGCTCTCCTACCTTCCCAATTGACTCTGTCACTCCGGCAGACTCTGCTCGACATCTGCAAAAACGAAGATGCCAATAGAGATACGGCTCTCGTTTGGACAAAGTGGGTCCACTGGGATGGTAAATCCGAGAAAGAGAACGTCAAAGTCGACTACCTCGCTTGGACTGAATTACTGGGAGGCTGGTTGAAGCAAGTACTCGACGTAGCGAATGAGCACTTTCGACCACGACCATCTCTGGCCAAAGCTATGGCTCTCTGGTCTGGTCTCAAGATCGCCGCTGACGAGGCTCTTGAGGTATTCCTGCAGAAGGAAGACGAGCTATGGCTCATCTTACATGAGCATATGCAAGGTGGCTCTATCAGATGGGAGCATCGTCGTGAGAGAATAATCTCGGCTATGATGACATGTCCTTCGTGGCGTCCGGCTATCCAAAACTCCCTGGAGATCCTCGAAGCGGCGTCTGACTATAGATCGTTCAGGACGCGGCTCCTGTTGGAGCGCAAACTCGGCCTCAAGAAGAAGATCCTTCCGAGATTTGAAGCTCGGAGGACAACTCCAGCTTCTACGGCTGAGCAGACTTTTGCTGGCCCTGAATGGGCTACAGACCAGGATCCCCACCTCCCCGAGTACCACAGGGTATCAGAACTCCGCCGTCAAGGTCAGGGCTCAGTAGCAACAGCAACTACCCCGGCTGACGATACCAGAACTGACGGGGAAGCCCAAAAGGTGAAAGAGCGCGATCGCAAGGAGAAGAGGTGTTACAAGTGTCACAAACCAGGCCATCGGGCCCGGGAGTGTGGTAAACGTGGTCAGCGTAAGAAGCAGACTGACGACGTCAGGAATGACGGTACCAGACTCAGGCCCTCCTCTTCTGCGACTGCTGATGATATGATCGTTGAAGATCCGGTGCTCGAAGAGCCGTCTGCTGACTCGAGGATCGATAACTACGGCGAGTCCGTGGTGGAAGCGAAGTGCGATGACCCACAGTGTGCTTCGCATGGGAATGCAGCCACAACGGGATCGCTATCATCAAGTGCTCTCACCGTGGCATCTACCTCTGAAAGACGGACTGCTGTGGCCAACGGCGTACCTATCCTGATCAAGAGTGATCTCAAGGGCACCGACAGTTATGCATATGTCTTCGACTTCTCCGACCCCTCCCACAACGGCGAGTTGATGATAATCAGGGTCTACGACCATGCTGGACGTCCGTTCAATGCTCTCCTGGACTCTGGCAGCGAAGTCACCCTGGTTAGTGCAGATAAGGCAACAAGCCCTTGCACTCGCAGAAATTGTGTCCGTGAAGGCATCACTATAGTGGGTGTTGGCGACAAGCATACTCTAACCACACCGGTTGACCTATTCCTAGCAATGTCTAAGAATGGACCCTTGGTACCAGTTGAGGCCTCCTTATCCCCGGGATTGCCTCGTGAAGTCGATGCCATCCTGGGTATTGGGGCATTGCGACTGCTGCGGTGGAGCGTAGATCCTCTAAAGGGGGTGGTAACACTGAGAACCCCCCTGCATGTCTGTACCAAGGCTATGTCTAAGGTTAACACCGTGGCACCAAAACAGACTCTGTTCGCCGCCAGGATCCAAGTGAAGCAGGAGGATCCTCCGATAAAGCATAGAGGTTTCCCCATTGCCCCTAATCGTCTGCGGGCAGCTCGGGATACCATTGATCAGTTGGTGGATGAAGGCAAGATCGAACTCTTGACCCCTTCCCAAGTCCTGGAGCCCTCACAGTGGATAAGCCCGGTGTTCTTGAAGCGTAAGGCCACGGCCCCCGGTGAGGACGTCAAGTACCGTATCCTCAACGATCTCAGACAAGTCAACACCAGACTGATGATTCACTCTTACCCTGGCGACGGGAACGTTCCACTATTGGTGAACCAGATCCCTCGCTGGTGCAAGGCATATGCATGCCTAGACATCAGCAGCGCCTTTCACTGTGTCCCATTGGAAAAGCCCTCTAGACGTTATCTCGGGGGTGTCCTAGCGGGGGTGTACTTCCGATGGTGTGTACTACCACAAGGACTGGGACTTTCTCCTTATTGGTGGGCCAAGTTTATCCGCGATGTCCTCAGCCGATCCGGCATATGTGACAAGTTTGCAGGTCGTGTCATCATTCTCATCTACGTGGATGATGTGTTGCTTGGAGGGCGAAATATCGAGGACGTTCGCGAAGCTTATCACGAGCTATGCAAAATACTTCTCGCCGCTGACATTCCCCTGAACCAGGCCAAGTCCAAGCTGCCTACCACGACCCTTGACTTCGTTGGTTTACATCTAGATGCTACAGGTTGGGGTCCCACGCTTAGCGCGATGGAAGCGCTAGAAGCACTCCCGGCACCGCGGTCTCGCGAAGAATTGATGTCAGTCCTGGGAACGGTCAACTATCTCCGACATGCCTATGACCCGGCTGACCTCCAGATCAATCTGGCGCCACTACAGCTGCTTCTGAAGAAGCACGCTCGCTATCAGTGGGATACCGCTCAAGAGTCTGCCTTCCACTGGTTGAAAGGAGCATTGAAGAACACCGTCTTCTCGTTTCAACCTTTGGACGAACCACTATATGAGCACGAGGGTTGGGTGGTTCAAAGCGATGCCTCTGACCTCGGTATATCGTTTGTGCTCTGGCGGTGTAAGCTCGACCCCGAACTCAAGTCCGGTGAGATCTCCCCAAGTTACCTTAGTCAGCATGGTGTCATTGTGGCCGCCAGTGGCAGGAGACTCCGAGGAGCCGAAGTTAACTATGCCACGTTCGACGCCGAGGGTCTTGCAGTCGTCGAGGCACTGAAGAAGTTACGACCTTACCTCCTCTTACCAACCCCTTCGGGTGGCTATCCGAGGACAGTCGTGCAAACTGACAGTAACGCCTCAAAGTGTCGATTCACTGCTGTACCCACCTTCGAGGACTTCACGCAGAATCCGGTCCGCTTCAAGCGCTGGTGTCGATGGGCTGAAGCTATTGGGGACCTGTTCCTCAATCCTGGTCTGGAATTGGTCCACATTCGAGGGGACAGCAATCACCTGGCTGATCTCTTTTCACGGGTCCTTCAGGATTGCCCCAGCGACGATATTGGCGTTTACGCTGTGGAATCGGGGGTGATGGGTGCGGATGATGAACTAGAGGACTCCTGCTCCTGCTGCTCCGAGTTTGGTAGCCCCAACGAGGACGAGGTTCGGCACATGGTTATGGCTGTTGAGGCCCCCGACGAGGTCCCACTGGAGCTCCAGCAACTCCACCGAGCCAATAGGATCGAGGCCGACGGTAGTGCACTCATCTACACTGATGCCAAAGGAAGGCGCAGAACGTATGTCCCGGAAGAGAGGAGATCGTCTGCATTGGATTCGGCGCATGGTCCTGCCCATGCCAGTGCAGAACGGACCGAGAGGGACCTAATTGAGTCTTCTCTATGGTGGCCTCGTATGGGTAAGGACGTTGGCTTATTCGTTCGGTCGTGCTTGGAATGTGCTCGCCATTCTGCTTCCAAGGCGGCGCTACGGCCCCGCCATGAACTTCAACCTACCCTTTCAAGTGTATCCGAGGAGAACGAGAGGTTCTCATCTGTGGCAATCGATCATTGCGGTCCTCTACCTGGCACATCTGGGTCGTTGGTGCTGATTATGGTCGATATGGTTACCGGCTGGCTGGAGGCCACGATTGTACCAAACAAGTCAGCGAGGTGCACGGTCGACGCTCTCTATCAAGCTTGGGTGTGTCGATGGGGGTGGTTTAGACGTTTACATAGCGACAACGACATGGGATATCGGTCATCTATTGTGGAAGAACTCTGTGCGCGGTATAAGGTGCGACATACCTTCTCTCCCCCAAGGTGGCCCCGTGCCAATGGATGTGCCGAAGCCGTGGTGAAGGAGTTGAAGGTGGTGATATCTAAGACAAGCAAAGGCCTACAGAAACAGGGTTATGATGTGGCCACCCTCGTGGCTGCAACGGTCTTCCTTCACAATTCGAGTCGCGTGGTCGGTCTCCCCTGCAGTCCCTTCGAGGCCGTCACCGGAGCTAAACCACGCACTATGTCCTCCTTCGCATCCACCACATGTAGCTCTTACGGTCCGGTTGACGTAGCTAAGCTGGAGGCCACGGTGAACCTGATGAAGAGTGCGAAGGAGTCTCTACGGCAAAAATGGCGTGACTATGCAAATAGAAGGGCTTCTCACCACCACGGCCTATCGTATGGCAACGATGTTACTATGGGTGTACTGGTATTCGTCGTCAGTGATCACTCCCTCAAAGGTCGCCAGGTATCGGGGCCTTTTCGAGTATCTCGCGTTGAAGGCGCTCGAGCATGGATCAATGGTGAGTCCAGCCCGGTGTCTGTGGGTCAGTGCATCGTGTATCAACCCGATTACCGGTTCGTGGATGAGGCCTCGGTTGAAGCAGCTTCTGCATTGGAGGTATCGTTCGAGAGCCTGAATATTGGCGATGCCGTGTTCTACTGCGTCATTGACTCCGCTCCTGTTGGGCCCCCGACCATGGCGCTAGACTTCGGTACTGTTGCTCGTTTGCCAGCGGGTGATCGAGTCCTGGTCGAGCCGTATTATAGCTCGAATGGGTTGCGATGGCAGCGCAGAGCTCCTCGTGATCGTTACCTCAAGGAGGTCACCCGTCCCTCTGTCAAGATTACTCGTAAGTCAACCCGCGCCGTGGTCGACTCTGATGGACACCTCATGCCTGACGTCATCGAGATGATTAGGGAGCGAGGATGGCCCATTCCTGACGAAGATGTTAAATAGCGGATGGTCCACTGCGAATCGACTTGCATTATGCATGCATTCAAGTATATATCTTAATATATATACTCTCTCATCGCCATTGATTCAGCCTCTCGAAGGGGGTGATTGTCTGTGGCTGCGCCCACTGGTTGATATCTTTAGTCTCGCTCGCCGATACTGCATGTAACCGTCGGCAGCATGCTGAAGGCTGAAGGTGTAAGAATTAGAATACTTTTGCGACTATGGCTACTCCTACTTGCGTTCACTCAACTCCTGGGAGGAAACCCGGCACGGTAGAGACATCTTTACTCAAGCTGCGTCTTCTTACTTTGTCATAATCGTTGTCACAACTGCGTGATAAATTACCCATGCATAATCGTCCACAATAATCAACACGTTACTAACCTCCCCTTGGTGGCTTTCCGAGGTTCACAAAGTCGCTCGAAGATTCTTTTCCGTTCCAGTGGGTCAAGATTGGTTTTTCTCACCGTTTTATCGTTAGTCTGAAATCAAACAACGGATTTTTTCACCCACATACTCCAACGATTAATCACTTTTTCATCCCATGTTTCGCCGTTTGAATGATGATCTCGCGTTCGATCCTAACAATTAAAGCATCCACCATCGGCCACTTTTGGACCTACTCTGCATCTTGCCATGCTAGGCCTACAAATATCTTTTTGTGTAGGAATTTTAATAACCTCAAAAGATTCCCATTAAACTACTCGCAATCACGTAAACCAACCTGGCCAGCCTTAGGATCATATCCTAGTAATTTAAGTATACTGAATAAGATCGGAGTCTTTCTAGGGTCTATCTAAAGGATACAACAAGAGTCAACACTGTTCCACCGTGTCGTCGAGCCTTTAGCACCATTAGATGCTGCTGCTCATGGGAGGTATATGAACTGCATCCTAATTGCTTTAACGCCTTCAACGCCAATTTAGGTCTAAGATACGTTCCTAAAGGAAAAGATTTGGAAGAGGTCAGCATTCCATACCTCACCATCAGCAGACCTCCGACCATCAGCAGACCGGTCGATTGTCATCCCATCGTTAAACAACTGATGGAGTATGAGTATGGATAGATAGAAGTGACATATTCACACATAATGAGATGTATCGCGGGAATCTAAGATCGAGTCGTTTATATGGTATCCTCATGTGACACGATGCATCTCCAGAGAAAACTAAAGATTCGACAGGTCGTTACACAAGAACATTGTTCTCATCAACTACATCTGGCTACTCCTACTCTACTTATTATAGCAAGTTCATTCACGACTAGTGGCCTCAGGTGGATACTGTTATTACTAACGTTGTTATTAACACATGTGTTAAAGCTATCAACGCAATACATGCAGGTTAGTCACTGCCTCGTTTTATCACACAATCGATCAACTTTGAAACATCTATAATAACATCAGTAGCCCCAGCAGCCACCAACGACTCTGCTGTGCTGAGGCCAGTACCATATACACCAACACGCCAACCTAATCCTTTACCAACCTGAAAAACAACAACATGATGATGATAATGATAATCGATAACATATGACATCTACTTCCATATCCATAGGATGATCCCCAACTATCATAGCTTGTCGAGGATCTCTACACTGCCATTTCTCCAATAAGAACTCCACACCATCTCTACTCGGCTTAGGACGTAACTTCATATCTCCTCCAACAATACCGTCTATAGCCAACAAGGGAATATCCTCATCCTCAATGAAACGCTTTGTTGACGCAACCTGAGAAGATACAATCGGCCGAGGCCTACCAATAGCATTCAGCAACTACATCATCTAATGATAACACTCCGATTTTCTCTACTCCCAGTTTCCGCAAGTGAGTGAAAAGTGATGGTAGCCGACAAGGCGTAACGTATTTCGGACGATAATTTCTCAGATGGGTCATCACCGGTCCTACTGGGATGCCCTCCGATGCTTCTACTTGACGTTCTATCTCGGAATTACTCGCTGATGGGCAGAAACCTCCACTGGGAGAAGGGTCATCTATTATTACCAGTCATACACAGCGCATCTTCCTTAAACCGTCTTTGGATAGGATCGAACCCGAGCAAGTTCTCTAACCTCGGTCGTGAAACTCCATACGCATCGCTCATCCGCTGAGCCAAAACTTCCACAGATGCGCCATACGTTTTATTCAAGTCCAACAGGGTGCCGTCCTTGTCGAATATTATATACCTCGGCACTTTACTCATCCGAAGTATTGAAACACGGCGTAACGTTTTCAAAGGAAAAAAGAAAAAAACAACTGTTAACTCACATAGTCGTCGAATAAACTAATATAATATTTCACTGCAGGACATTATGAATCAGTTTTCGGTCAACTACGCGTGTTGATGCCGATAAAAAAATTCGAAAGAGATTATGGAAAATTTTCATTGGTATCCCCACACTCCTACTACTACTACTACTACCCGTGAAAAAGACATACAAACGTATATAACAAGATCGTTATGCATATACTACATCTACTGCATGAAGAGTGTTAGTGCAGCTATACTGTCGATGTTGGTATACACAGAATACATCAATACTCCATAAATCACGCATAGAGCATCAATGACATCATTTACTCATTTCACAACTCTTCTATGTGAGACTCCATTGTCCAACGTATCTTAAATTACCGCGCATTTCGAAATTACTCCCGTGAAACTACTGAGGACGCAAGACGTGAGTGACGTGTAGGAATCTTTCAATGGACTGCTGGAGATATGGAAGGACTCCCTCTCATGACCACCGGTATAATCAGCGTCACCGCGCCACAAAATTGGTCATAGGCTCGCCTGAGGTCGGCTCTAGGGTGATCAAGAAATGTCATATAAATGACCCTGTCAGGGATCGAACCCGGAACCTCCAAGGGACCTCGGCAGCAAAACGAATAGATTCTATACAAGCGCTCGATAAGCGTTTTGACAGTTACCAGAAACAATAATTACTCAGTAGTGACGATGAATGGACATGACCGTATCTTCTACGAGTGAAGATAAGATGCTATTAAGATGGTATCTTTTGTATTTAGTAATCAAGTGAATAATCAGCTACACGCATGCTGCTGCACAGAAGATACGTGATGATGATGAGCATCGATTCAGCAATAATAATAATAGATCATGTTACCATTTACCAATCCTCTTCTAAATCGGCGAATGATCTGATTAAAAACAGCGCAGGTTCGATCCTCAGTGGAGATACTATTAGAAAATCCAACGAGAATAGCCCTTATACATCTCCATTTTCAACGTGAGAGGACGACTTCAGAAGACGACTAAGAACGTATTCAGATTGTCATAACTTCAGCTGACTACTCAACAACCATGAAAGCTTTCTGCACACAAAATCAATTCTTCTCGAAAAAGAGTAGACTGCCGTAAGGCCTTAGACCATGTGCGAATCGATGCCTCAAAGATTATTATAGGAATCATCCATTTCTTATTAAGTCGATACTATCAATTCACAATTGTCACAATGTTACACACAATTGACTTCAATCCAAATCCTATGAACTGCTATATAATCAAACAAGGTATCAATTACTATCCAGCTATTACTGTAAACTAATTACCTTTTCCTATTCACCCTCCCTAGTCTTATTACCTCGATCTTCCTCTCCTACCGCTGACAAGCATCTCCCTTGGTTTGCCCATTTCCTCAGCTATGGTCTCCAAATCGCCGAGATTCTCATAACTCGTCGTTTTACCCAAACAAGACTTGTTATTACTTCGACCATCAAAGCTCTTCACACAACTCGCTAAGTCGGCTACTTCATGTTGACTGTGGGATCTGCCGCGAAGTGACAGACTAGATCCGCTACGATTGAAGAAACGTACGTTCACCTGAGAAACATGAAACTCACAATTCACAATTCTTAATTCATTTCGATAGGAATCGAACGCAAATTAAGTTCTGCAGAATTCAAACGAGTTTCGGTCTACTACGCTGATACATAAACACATAAGGAAAAGCCTGAAAAGAATCTATTTTTCCATACCACCTAGGTCATCATCTAATATTCAGCAAAACTCGAAGAGATTTATGAAGTAAAATCGACGTTCAAGGTGCTCACTAAGCTGGGACATTTCAAACAGTCCATACAGGCTCAGTCCCGACATCCTACGATATTACTTCGTCGCCAAAGTTGATCTTTCGCGCTTCAGAATCTTCTTCATCGTCATAATCACCAAGAGAGCGATTCACCCGTTGCTTCTCCGTCCGGAATAGCTTCCCATTCTCCGTAGCATTTCTTGCTGCAGTCGAGATTCTGTCCGAAAGTTCCCTTGATTCAAGAGATATATTCCTCTGCAACTTAGGTGATGCATCTCCTTGCAGTCCTAGTAGTCGATCCAATGCAGTAGTCGACTCGTGGTGCCCCTCTTCTGCTCGAGTCGGGGGCATAAGTATAGTCATCTGAGTATACCATGATAATAGCACTATAATACTACTACTACTACCACCATACGGTGATGCTCATCTACTCGACAAGAACGACGACAACGACGACGACGACGAGGAAGAGGAAGATACATTCGATGAACATTACGATGGCGACGACGACAATACACTTTCAATGACCATCTCAGCGTTGGGGCAGATATGCCACTCCATGATATATCTCAGTAAGGTAAATTTCAGCGTTGGGGCAGATATGCCACTCCATGATATATCTCAGTAAGGTAAATTTCAGCGTTGGGGCAGATATGCCACTCCATGATATATCTCAGTAAGGTAAATTTCAGCGTTAGGGCAGATATGCCACTCCATGATATATCTCAGTAAGGTAAATTTCAGCGTTGGGGCAGATATGCCACTCCATGATATATCTCAGTAAGGTAAATTTCAGCGTTAGGGCAGATATGCCACTCCATGATATATCTCAGTAAGGTAAATTTCAGCGTTGGGGCAGATATGCCACTCCATGATATATCTCAGTAAGGTAAATTTCAGCGTTGGGGCAGATATGCCACTCCATGATATATCTCAGTAAGGTAAATTTCAGCGTTGGGGCAGATATGCCACTCCATGATATATCTCAGTAAGGTAAATTTCAGCGTTGGGGCAGATATGCCACTCCATGATATATCTCAGTAAGGTAAATTTCAGCGTTGGGACAGATATGCCACTCCATGATATATCTCAGTAAGGTAAATTTCAGCGTTGGGACAGATATGCCACTCCATGATATATCTCAGTAAGGTAAATTTCAGCGTTAGGGCAGATATGCCACTCCATGATATATCTCAGTAAGGTAAATTTCAGCGTTGGGGCAGATATGCCACTCACATCCTGATTAGATCGACCCGCCTCTCCTTTTTCTTCTAATCGTTGATCGTGATGTGTAGATTCAGTCCGAGTGGATATCATACGAGGATGAGTATAATAGTGGAAGCTTAAATATAGAGGGTCAATAGGGGAAGACCTATTCTGTATATTCTATTAAGTAATATATTATTCCTCTATCACCATTACATCAAATCGTCATTAATAAGCCCATCATGATCACAAATTATAGATGATTTTCGCATCAGGTTCAAGAATAAGTTCTCACACTCACTAATATCACTGGAATTACACGGGTTTTGGGTTCGCTTATTTACATGACGCACGAAATACAACTTCTGAGGATTACAGATCAGGCAGACGGCAAGGGAAGATTGTTATGGCACAATCGGGAGAAATCAGCGCATGTTGAACCGCGCTCGCCAGAATAATTAGTGATGAGTAATCGAAACGATCTTACGATTGTAACGGCTCGTTGGAACGTTCATTGCATGAGTTGAAACATGATAAAATCTGTTACGGCTATATTCGATGTGTCTCTAGCCACCGTTCTGAGTTTATCTTTTTATATCACTGATCTGCCTTGGATCTGAGTACTATCTGGAACTAGTCGAACCTCTCAGTTCGACAGCGTCTAGAATGGCTATCACGCGTATTATATACCAGGAGCTTGGTTAATCTACAGTGTTGTAAGGGTCGTCTAGGATCCCTCGATTGAGGCCTTCCACGGACTGTGTAGCGGCACTTAACACTGGCAGCACCAGGGATTGAACCAGGAATGGACAACTAACGTTGCTTGTGCTTAATCATTTTCTTGCACTAGTTCTTTGATTACATCGACCTAATTTTGTTTCCCGCCCTCGTATATTCATGTATATTCATGTAATTCTTAGATAGAAGTGAACAAGTTGGAAATTATTAAGCAGTTAAGACTTTAAGTTGTATTGTAGTAAGCATTTTTATCATACCTTCTGACCTTCATCAAGTGCGAATGTTGTTCTAGTCACCAATGATAAAAAGGTGGTCGTGTTGTTGTTCGCATGGGTTGCGCTTTTCAACTGCCTATTTGATGAGCAACAATTGTTAGATATAGAAAAGGCAGTAAGCTGGGGTGAGATATCCCCGATACTTATGATATCTCTATCTGGCCAGATGAGCCAGGAGTTTGTGCTGAATCTCCATACATTACCGTCGGGTTATGCTGTATGTTTCGTTGAATAATGACGCCAAGGCGACCAAGGCTGTCCAGGAGGATTCACTCTCGTACGGTACGAGTTGTACCTTATCAGGTTATACTGACTTGGAGGCTTCACATCCTCTCAGACAAGTCTTAACTCGATGTCAACCGTGAAAACGATCAGCAAGTCATAGAAACAATGCTTGGTAGGTTGTCGAGCATAGGACTGCTCACTAGCTATGTAATTCGCCACCAAAAGGCCTGGGCTGCACTTCGTGTTCATACGGCGGTCTTCTGTCTGAATATCGGAGTTGGGCCGACCAACTTCAGGTTTTATAGAGTCAGCTCCTCGAGAGCTCCATTAGTTTCTAGTCATTATCATCATTACTCTATAGAGGAATATAGTCCCACCTTATCCCATACAGTGAGGTGCTATGCACACGCGTTCGCTCTGGCATCAGTGGTATCGACTTTAGGGTTACACACTTGAAGCTTTTCTTCAGAAGATTCTAGACTGTGTGGTGGGTGTAAGAACCTAAAAGGTGGTCACTGTGTACCCCACAATCTGGTAGGAGGCAGTCATCGCGGGGTGAAGGAATAGAGCCAATTCAACTGCCCCCACTTCGATCGGAGTGAGTCCATCTGTGGGGCTTAATTACTGATACTGGAAGACCGCACGAGCGATAATAATCCCTCCAAACGAACTGCCCAAGATTCCTTGATGAACTCGACTCACCAGAGGTCCGATAATGCTACCAAACGCATGGTTGCGACCGTCAACACACACTTAACACGAGCCTCTTGGATCTACCTGATGTATAGCAGCGTGAACTTCCCGAGAGCTAAGACGTGACACGAAACCTGATGAGATTTTTTACACTAATGCCAGTGGGTAGAAGGCAGCAGACCGCTCAACAACAATCGGCACTCTACTGTAGCTTGGCTCGGGGGCTGATCATGTGGCCTCGTCTGGAAGGGGATACCTACACGACTGCGAGTGGACAAGATCAGCGGCATCAAGGTTACCGAGCTGAGGCTTCGAGTTGGGCTTTGGCTTCTTCCTCGACTGAATAAACCGTTGAACAATTGATCCAAGCGAGCCGAAGAAGAATAGAAGGCCTGAGAATAGAAAAAGGTGAATGAGCGCACCTCCTTTTGAATACCGTGAATCCTGAAGCTTTTGCCTCCGACAGGAAGCGTTTCATCTCGGACATCACGAGTTGCAAATCTTGTGTTCGACAGTCGAACTACCAACGAGAATAACTGGTCATCCGTGATCCTGTGAGAAATACCTCAGTTCGCAACTGCTCATTGGCTTCATTAAGACTCGAGACCTGAGGTGATGCATGGGAGGAAGCAATCGGATCCATCGTCGTCGTCGTCATCACCCGTGAGTCAGAGCGCTATTCAGACTTCT